TTGGGAAAAATTCCAACATGCACAAAGAAAAGTGAATCTCATCGGGCGATGTTAAACCACTGGCGAATACTTCATATATATATATATATAGTTAGGTTCATTTCCACACATCAGGCTTATAATAGCTAAATATGAGAATAATGGTTTCCCGTGGAAATATATATATATATATATATATATATATATATATATATATATATATATATATATATATATATATATACAAGGCTTAATTTACTTTTGGTTGGCTATAGTTGGTTTATACATGTTTGTTATGTGTTCCATTATAGGTGTTGATCAGTTATTGATGATTTTATTAGCTTGTTATTGAAGTAACAAATTATTTTCCAGTTTTGCATAATAACTTCAAGTTATAGTTTTTATAATAAATCCAATAACTTCAATAAAAAAATGTCGAAACTGCCTAAAACTTTAACTCAAATTTTGTTTTACGTCTAAATTAATCGTTTAAAATTTGTTTTTCAAAGCAAATTTGAATTATTGATGTTTATATGATTTACGTAATAACTGCAGACAGTCTGTAGAGTTGAAATAGACTTTGAAGGAACCGGAAACCCAACTTTAAACAGGAAACAAAGGATAAATCTCTACTCCTGTTCAAAGGACGGGGGAGTAGTGAGAGTCAGAAGATAGGTGAACCTATCTACTCTTATTGAGAAAAGAATAAAAAAAATAATTAGTAAATACAATTTCAATGATTCAGGCGAAGACTTTAGAAGTATAGAATTGAAATAGTCTGATGTCTATTTGTCGACGTAATATTTCTTTCTAATGTCCAAGAAACAATTACATTATTAACGCTGAGCCTTATACCACTCCAGTTTCTGAGCACGATAATTGCCTTGTTCGGCGACATTATATAATCCAACTGTAGATATTTATCTCTATGCTCTAAGCATAATGAATAGCATGAACATGTCACGTGACCCGTTGAGAAGATTGGCAGCAAAAGACGAGCTTAATTAACCGCCTGCCGAGTGGAATGCATTATTAATATTTATATTGAAACGCGATGTCGAAAATGAAGGCCGAATACACCCACATAAGTACGTATATGCATATATGGATGCCTAAACAGAAAGAAAGTAACATCTATCTATCTATCTATCTATCTATCTATCTATCTATCTAAATAAATAAATAAATAAATATGTTTCCTAAGCACAAGTCTGTGTATCATGAACGAAGTAACTGTCAGGTACAAAATGTAGATATTGCAAAGTGTATATATTGATATTTATACCGTGCTGCAATCATCCAGGCAGTCAATTTCTTTACGGGGAAAATTATATATATATATATATATATATATATATATATATATTTGAGATGAGGTATTATATATACTATTTACATTATTCGGACTATTGTCCTCAACTTTGTTGCCATATTTATTACAACGTTTCAGCTGTTGTACGCTCCGGCCTTCTTCAGGTGGTTGGAATGTTGAACTGAACCCTTTATTTCACTCATTCGGGTAGACTGTTCTAGTTCCACGTGCCATGATTAATGGATTTCAGGTATCAATTATCTCTTGTTAATTCCCCTCACCAAATTCTCCACAAAGCCTTCACCGGGTTTTGAACTCACACTATTTGGGTCCTTTATCCACTGTACCATGTGTACTTGAGGAGAGGGAATAAATCCATCTATTTATAAAATATAGGTATATATATATATATATATATATATATATATATATATATATATATATATATAATTATTTAAAAAATATGATTCCTTCGCTGCATAAGAGTTCTCATGTTTCAAAAACGAGAGCCAAAAACCTCAATATAATTATTGAAATTAAATTGAATTAAAGTATCAAGCTCTGTTTCATCTTCAAGCGAAAATTTTCATACATAACTTCAGCTTCATCAAATATTTCTGTATTGAGAATTAATTGTTAATCTATATTTTAGTGATTTATATAAATTCGTAAGTATCGGGGAATGAATTGATTCGCTATTTATGTATCCGACGCCCTTTAATTTTATCTATATACACAGTGCGATAGATAAATTGTCGTCTAAATTACGCGGAAAATGAACATAACACAGACATTTCATCTATATATTTCATATCTATTTCAGATATATTTCCCAAAATTACACAAAAATATCTTGAAATACGAAAGAGCAAATTTATTCAATAAAATCGCCATTGGATTCAACAACGGAATCTCCTCCAACTTTTCTGGATGGTATATATATATATATATATATATATATATATATATATATATATATATATATATATGGCCTGACGATTGCATCTAGCATGAAACAGACTGTCGCCTTTAAGTGTTGACTTCTATGTTCACTTTTATATATATATATATATATATATATATATATATATTTTTTATATATATATATATATATTATTTTTTATATATATATATATATATATATATATATATGGCGGTGGATAAAATGATAATAATACTGACATCTAAAAATTACACAAACTAAAGAGTAAATGTATTCAATTAAATCGCCATTGGTTTCAACCGCGTCCTGCAGATGACTTCGGAATCTTCTGAAACACTTCTGGAATGTCTCCTTATGCATTAAAAAAATATGATTCCTTCGCTTTATAAGAGTTCTCATGTTTCAAAAACGAGAGCCGAAAACCTCAATGTAATTATTGAAATTAAATTGAATTAAAGTATCAAGCTCTGTTTCATCCTCAAGCGATGATTCTGCGTACATAGATAGATAGATAGATAGATAGATAGATAGATAGATAGATGTTACTTTCTTTCTGTTTAGGCATCCATATTCATATACGTATGTATGTGGGTGTATTCGGCCTTCGTTTTCGACATCGCGTTTCAATATAAATCTTAATAATGCATACCATGCCGCTATAATCATTGCAATCATTTCACCTTTGGTGCTACAATGAGTTTTCTTTTTACGTCTCTTGCTCAACTGCGCCCAACACATAATAATCAAGGGGGTTGCAGTCTGGGGAGTTAAGTGGCCAGATGTAAGGAGTGATGTGGTGCCAAAAATTGTCTGAGAGCCATGACTGGATTCTTTTGCTTGTGTGGCATGCAGGGTCTTCCAGCAGCCACATTCTTGACATGGCGCAGCACTACCTCCTCTAGGCACTTGATGTAGGCCTGCTTGTTGAGTTTGAAGCTCTCAAGAAGAAATTCGGATGTTCTTTTTTATTAGAACGATCATATGAAGCATTACAGCAAGTGTTTACCAAATTTATGGTGGAGTGAACTGCGTCACGTTGCTCTTTTTCTTACAGACCGGGACCAACTAATCATAACTGTTGTGAGACTCTCCCTTTTTTACACAAGATGGACTCGTCCAAAGTATACTTATACTGACAGAGAGAATACCTGCGGTTGAGATACGTCGCGATACAGTCCCGACGTCTGTCACACTCTCTGCTTTGCCAGAGAAGAACCCGGACAAAGCTTTGCGAAGGGCAAGGTTTCGTCCGGGGAGGTAGACAGGCCCTGAACCAGTCTAGGTGGCTTCAAAGGGTATATTTTTGCCGAGCCTACGGGCTCGGAGAAACCCACTTTAAACTCGGCCTTGTGCCACATATATTCCTTGTGGGTGGGATATTAAATACCGAGATACGTGGAGATACGTTGACACAGGGTGTTCACAGAGAATTATACGAGAGTCCAGAGAGAGAGAGAGAGGAGAGAGATTATTACGGCTTCACTTACAGAGACTTGTACATATACTTTCTACTAGCCCGCATTCCTGGACTATTAATCTTCACTTCAAGTCTGTATTCTTACGTTTATTACACTTATTTTTCTATCTCAATTACTGGCGTTGTTTATTTATTTGTACAGGATTCCATTCACGGAATCCACAACAATAACTATGTGCAGTTGACAAAATCCAAAATAAATAACGCGCATGTGCGAAATTAATATATATAAAATGTCAATTTATCCATTGCCCCGTTTACGGTTTATATTCACAAGGGTTCAAGAAAGTTGATCACTTTTGCATTTTTTATCATCTTTGAAGAATTTTACCAGTTCTTTTCTTGATCTGTCAATGTTTCTTGGATTTTTATTATATAGTATGTTAACACCGCCACTTCTATAAAGTTCTATATTTGTGATATCGAATAGATATCTTAATCTACACATTAAGATTACCCCTACTATTTCCCATGCTTATACTAAATCATATGCTTCCATGGTAATGTTGAAGACTTCATTATCTCTTTCAGTCTATGTGCATCCATTTTGATAGAGCTTGGGTTTGGGGGCCTATCCTATTGTTCTGATTTCTTTATCGTTAATCAATAGTTTTTGTTATTATACATCGAACACTATTTTGTGATAGAAGTGACAGTGACTTACCAGGAGCGAAGCGAATTCGTTGCCTCGCGTGTCGAACCATTCTCTGAGAGTCGGTCGCGCGTGCGCCTACTGCTATTTTTATGCAGCAGACTTATTAGCATAAGAGAACCACGCTACCGATTAAAAACCCGGCGAGTGGACGTGGGAGGCCACTGCTCTTCTAGGCTTCGGCGAGACTAGATGGATTGCAGACAGAAAGCGACAGCAATTTCTGGACATACGACATAACACTATCAATCAATATGGTCAATACTTTAAATCTGTCTATCTATTAATTATGTTTTTTTTTCCACTTTTGTCTTTTTTGGAGTAAACGATGTCAGGCGAGATCGAAGTCTCTAGCCTTGGATAGCATCCATTATGGAAAAACAATTCTCTGTAAGGTTTTGCAACCTCTTTGCAGGTTATTTAAAGCCACGCCATATTTTTATATTGCAAGATATTTTTCCTGGGATTTAATAATTGTTTAGTGATACAAGCCTTATTAATTAACCCAAAACAGAGAAGGGAAAACTGTTGGATTTCTTACCTTTCCCAGGGATATTTTCCGCGTAAAGGAATATAACGAACCCCTTGATTAACAATTCCAAGCCATTATCCATTAAACCATTTGCATATCCAAACTCACAGCACCTGGTATTTCCAAGCGGTCACCCATCAATGTACTGACCATGCTCAACGTTGCTTATCTTCGGTTATTGTACGGGGACACCGGTGTTTCAACGTCATTTGACGGTAAGCTTCTGAATTCAAAATCGAGCTGAAGGACTGGCCAGTGTTCCCCGACGATCCGCGTAGGTGAAACCTTGGTAGGTTTATCTGGCTCTTTAGGTTTAATTATATATATATATATATATATATATATATATATATATATAATCGATGGCGCTGCATTCCTATATCCTTATCCTAATAATAAAGTACTATTTATTTCATATAATAGTCATTTACTTATTTTCCAAAAGACTCCTTTGACTTACGGCCATATAACGTTGAAAACTTGGATATCGGGGAGGTGTAATCGATAAAAGCTTGGAATGAGAAATCGGAGAGCCCAGTTCGAATTCCAGGTCGGGTTTGTTATATTCGCCTTTGTACAAATACCCTTGTGAAAGGTATGGATAAACCTTTCTCCTCCCAGCTATGGGTGAAATAGTCAGACTCATATCAGAAAATCATTATTATCTCTAAAATGATTCTTACAATACAAAAATATGTTTCGGATTTTAAATTTAAATTGTTAATAAATCGTAAAAACTAATCACCCAAATCAACCAAAAGAGACCTTTTCCTTGTCAATGCACTTAATTCAGCGTTGAATATTCATTTCATGGCTGAAACAATATATAAGGGAAATTTCAGACCGTAATTTAACAGCTTGTTTTAAGGATACATACTTATTAACTTACCGAATATATATCTATCTGTTTATCTATCTAGATTTAATGCACTATTAGGAGTGTAATTGAAGAAAGCTTAAACGTTAACTGTAAGAAAACAGATTTCATGATTTCCAATTTTAAATTGAAGCTTATCTAATGTGGATATCAAAATGAAGCAGAAGCAGGAATTTATCATTTGAGTAAGAAGAATGCGTCTTAGTTTAATGTTTCGCTGTCCGAAAGTCGAACTTCGAAGGCCAAGTACGAATTCCATTCGAGCTGGTTACATTCAACTACATGCAGATTCCATTGGAAAAGGCAGAAACCATTTCTTTCTTCCTAGCTCTTGGTAAAAAGCAGGTGACACTGGGCCCTATAGACTTGATTGGAAAATGGAAATTCTGAATTTCTATCTTGCAGAAGCCACCCCACAGATGTTATGGCTGCAGCATATGTCAGTACCACTATATGTCTAATGCGTTACTGCATTCGTGATAGAGAACGTATGTGTAGTAAGGTATGATGTAAGGTTTGACAAACGGAAGGTACCTTCTAGAAACTAAATAACATATTAAGACTTAGGAAGGTGACATTAGAAAGGAAAATGAATATAATGCTATGGAATATCTAATCTTCGAGGGAGTAGTGAATGTTAGACAATTTCCTCACATAGGAAGAAAACAACCTTCAAGTGAAACAGATGTGATTTTGCAAGGGGATACTACGAATACACATTCTGACCATGAGATCAGGGTTCGAATCTCACCATGGTTGATTTGTCAGGAAGGAGATTTCCTGATGTTGGCAGAATGAAGGGATCGATCCCAGTGTGCAGCACATTTGGAAAGTGCCCGACAGCCATATATTCAAGCCTTGTGAATGTAACTGGGTACCATCGATAGCTGTGCTAGCACGAAGTCAGAAGTCATCATGGCCGGGGGCTTGAGCGTTCTGGCCTTGTTCAAATTGTTCATCACGCTAGATAACACGCTCTTTCTTAAAAACTGTAACTAAAGTCTGCTCAGCATAGTTGCAATATAAAATCACAGGTAGTCTCTGCATGTTTTGAATGAACAGAAATGCGTCTGAACAAGCGTCTGAAATAGGTACTGACTAGCTGGGTATCCTCGAATACGAGTAGCCAGCTATACTGTGATTACCATGGGCATGAATTGGGGAAAAGATTTCAGGAAGAACTTAACAAGAATGTAAGGAAAGAAGTAGCTGAAGTGTCTAGGACATATGAGGCTTGGCGAAATTCATACTTAGTTGGTATAATGATGTCAATATAGAGAGAATGAAGCGAGAAGTAACACACCTGACACATATAAGAGAATAGACCGCGGAAGAAAGACCACAAATACAAAAAACAGTAATTTTATAGAACATTGGTGCAACAAAAGCGGAGGCAAGTCATGATCGTCTATACCCTTTTACAGATTAATTATACAGGAAACTGTGGAGAGCCATGATCAACCACACCCTTGTGCAAATTAATTGAAACAAAACGAATAATTCCGTTATTATTTACTTTTTTCGTATTTTCTAATGAAACATGATTTAATGCACATATTAGTAAATCGTATGTCCATTTGGCGAAGACGTTCCTTGCAGATTAAACACAGATTTTCGATTGGATTTAAACCAGGACAATTTCCGTGCCAGTCTAGTAATTTGGTTTGCTCACTGGTAAGGCTTGCCAGTGTGTTCGTGCATCGTTACAAATTTTTCTATGCTTCCTTGGAGTAACGTCCATTGTAGACAATGGCCGTAGGACAACTAATCGACAGTCGGGACAATAGTTTCTGGTTGTTGTAAAAATCTGATGAAATCACTGATGACGCAACATTTTTCAAGGCCAAACAAATTTCATCATACACCCCGAAAATAGATTCCCCTTACTGCACACCACTGCAAATCTGAGGAAAAAAAAAAAAAAAAAAAAAAGAAAGAAGAAAAACAGAACTCGATTACAACCTGCCATTCCAGTGGCTCTAAAACTGACCGTATGGTGAAAGAAAGGAAACTAAAGCGGTTGTTTGAATTAATTTGAACAAGGAAGTTCCTGAATGGACATGACCTATAAAACAAGAATTAAATATATTTACTTGTATATGTGATTGTATTATATATTGTGGAAAAATAAATGAAATTATCTGCGCGTGTGAGGTCTGCAGTCAGACGTGTAGGGCGGGGTGTTTGCCATGTTTGTTTTCCAACTCGAGGCAGCTCCGAGCTCTGCTTTTTATAATCATTTTACCGGAAGGGGTGGTAGGGATGCATAAATCTGCCACCTCGTTAATTAACGGCTGCCTTCCGTTCCTTCTCCTTTGTGAGAGGAACTTATAAGAACTGAGTCTTTTCACGAGCTCTCTGCTTCTCCCATAGTTAACTGATCCCTGTTTGGATTTGGGTCGCGAGATAGGCAGTGTTTCGCAATCACTGTACCGGACAGACTTTTAGCTATCTTAGTGTCGAAAAGGAATTTGCGACAATATTGTCATTCTGTCCGAGTAGAAATTCATTTTAGATTCAAATGAAAATATTTAAAAAATTGAATTTAATTTAACAAAAGCTTTTGAGAAAAAAAAATAAAGCGTCGAATAAACATAATTTCGCGCTTTGGTTTTTCTTATTTTTCTCTATTTTTATTTTTTATTTTTTTGTTCTTTCGTTTTCGACATTAATTTATTTATATCGTTTTTTTCTTTCAACATTTAGATTTCTTTTACAGACTATATTAATCAAATATTCGTTTGGATTCCTACTCTCTTTTCACTCCCACTTTGTTCCATTTTCTTTCCTTCTTTCATTTACATTCGTTTTGTTTTGCTCCATTCAGAAATGTTCGATTTTTTAATGGAATATTTTAATCAGGATTGAACTGACACAATATTTTAATAATGGAATTAGAATTAGCGAACCGAGTGTTGTGTGTCGCCTCTTGGCTTCTGTTCTTCGAACCGCAACGCACCACCATAAATTTCTTTTTCCTATCTCGCTTTATTATACGAGGGATAGTCATTGTTGCTTAGTTTCTGGGAGAAAGTGGGAGGCACATAAAGACTCCTTAGATTAGTATTTCGTCACGTGCACACTAGCCTCATTCGGTTCGTGGTGGGCGTTGCGGTTTTTGCACCGTTTTGGAGCATATATCCATAACCAGTTGTGTCGGATATCCACATGCACTGGTTCTTCTGACCAGTTGCTTGCCATTTCGAGCCAGCCTTCGCATTCTGTAACAACGTGATCGAATTCTGATTGATGTCTACTTCGCACTGGACCATTAGAAAAAAAAGTGAATCAATCTCAGCCATAAAATCCTACTAAGGATGCCTCTCTTGTTCATTTTAATCCGGTGTATATTGTTTCATGTTACCCCCGGAGAGAAAATGGGAACTGTCATGTTACGCCCATTGCTCGAAGAAATGCCATGAAAGTCTTTCAATTATACTACATCATAATAACATTGGATAAAGACAGATATATACATGGGAATAGTGAGACAAAGTGAAAAAGCTATTTATTTAACGCGTTTTGTCTCTTTATGGCAGGCATCTTCAGTAGGTAACGTGAGAGACGAACCCCAGTATAATGGAAATATCAAACATTGCCAAAGTTTGTGTTCGATTTTCATTGTTAAGATAAAATGGCCGCAGCTTGACACTGACGTTTGTTTTGGTACTGATTTCTGGTATGTTCCAGAGTGAAATCTTTCATCGTTCACTTGGTCGAGTCAGACTTTGTTGAATTTTGATGTTTTGTTCACAAATGAATGGCTTAAAGATGGAAAATGAAAAGTTGCTCTTTCGTCATATTATACGCTATTCGGAAAGTTTGTTTGGATCGTTTTCCAGCTCTTCGGACGATGAAAATGTGGTTTGGCAGATTTTGTTTGAGTGATTTAAACACTAACGATCAACAACACTCCGGGCGACTTTCCGAAGTCAATGGCGATGCTCTGTTTTTTTTTATCATAGAAAATTTACCGATAAGATTTCGACGGAGGAAATTGCCAAGAGTTTGAAGATCGATATATGTTAACTGTCTTTCACCATTTGAAGAGACTTAGTTTCAAGAAAAAAACGTCTGATTTTGTCAATTCGAGATTCGTTTTCCACCACGACAACGCAAGACCTCATGTTTCAAAATAGACCAAGCAGAAGCTTAAAGTGTTGAAATGGGAATGTCATCTGAACCCACCGTATTTGCCTGATTTGTCTTCATCGGATTATCATTTGTTCCGGTTTTTACAGAACAATTTAAATTACAAAAATATTGACTCAGTCATTCGAAAAAGAAAATCGTTCCAACAAGCTTTTAGAACGTTGGGAGACAGTTGT